CCTGCCAGGAATTCTGCGCATGGAGGTTCACAAAGTGCTGCGCCTGCCACGAATTCTGCACGTCAAGAAACAAATGAATACTCCAATCACAATAGAGGGACGGACCGGCGACCACCGCAGACAACCGCAGACAACCGCAGACAACCGCAGACAACGCAACACCCACAGCCTCTAACGGAGCGTGGAGGTTCACAAAGTGCTGCGCCTGCCACGAATTCTGCACATGGAGGTTCACAAAGTGCTACGCCCGCCACGAATTCTGCACGTGGAGGTTCACAAAGTGCTGCGCCTGCCACGAATGCTGGTGACGTCTCGGTGTGTGTTGTCACAAAGTGCTTCGCCTGCCACGCAATCTGCACATGATCTCTGTGTGTGTTGTCTCGGTGTGTGTGATCTCTGTGTGTGTGTGTGATCTCTGTATGTGTCGTCTCGGTGTGTGTTGTCTCTGTGTGTGTGTTGTCTCGGTGTGTTCTCTGTACGTGTTGTCTCGGTGTGTGTGATCTCTGTGTGTGTGTGTGATGTGTGTTGTCTCGGTGTGTGTGATCTCTGTGTGTGTGATCTCTGTGTGTGTTGTCTCTGTGTGTGTTGTCTCGGTGTGGAGGGAGGAGGCGCAGGCGGCGGCGGGAAGTGGGCGGCGGGAGGCGGCGGGAGGCGGGTGAGACATAGAAAAGAAGAACCCCACACTAAGATGTGGGGAAGTAACAAGATGCAATAAGTATTATATAACAAGTAGGCTCTGCCGCACTTTGCCATTGGATGATTTTGCAATTTTGATTGGTCGGTCATGCGTATTTTGAGCTACCTTTTGTTATGTTATTGGTTGCTTCACCTTATTGTGGCCCTTGACACTCCTCGTCACGAGTCACGAGGCTGGCTTTGCAGACGGTGAGCCAATGGTCAAAAGCAGCTCGAACGATGTAAGTGCTTTTCGTTTTAAGTGGATTGTCATTGGTGTAGGAGGGCCATTAAACCATATTAAACCCACAAAAAGATGCATATAGCTAGGCTATGCTTCGTATAGCAGTATAGCCCGTCCCATTTTGATATGGATTGGCAAAGTTCATAATCGAGATTGATGCTTTTGTGGAAACTTGTCACAGAATAATTAAGCTGTTTCCCGGCATGCCTTCAGCGGAGGTTATGGGACTGCAGATCCTTGAGCATGAGGCATTTTCCACATATCTTGTTGGCTTGATTGGAGCCTGGGGAGCAAGCCTGTGCATCCAAGCTTTGTAAGACAGGCACTTCTCTCCACCTACCTGCCTCCACTTGTAGCACACACTAACCAACGATTCAACAATTTGGATCTGCGACCTACAATCTTGGTGCCGCTTGAATTGGATGGAAAGTTGGTGCACTCAGGAAGCCCTGCCGTAAACTCTGACGTCGTTTTGGACACTGCACCTGGGCTTTCAATACCTTAGGCCAACAAAGATGACAAAGGGCGCCACATGGGTTGCGAGGGCAATTCAATTTAACAAGAGTCATGTGGGCCAAGAATGGTGGTTCTTGCTGCATTGAAAAGCGCATCCTGGTAAAGAGAGACACCTCAATGTCGTCTTGGAAGCGCAATCTCCAATGCTTGGGATTTGCCCGAACCATTCCGCACATCAGATGTTGCAGCGACGTTGCAGCAGACTGCATTGCAAAGTGCTATGATTGAGAGTTCCAAGTTCTACCTGTCGATTCATGAGTCAGACTAATCAATACCGATCGTCGCCATGTTCCTGAGATTTGCGGGCCAACAGAAATTTCGGGTGCCTCAACAGCATCAAGTCTGAGGTTTTAGAAGTGCTGCGCCGCTCCAATGGTGCCTTCCTCATCTACGAGCCAGCACTGCGGCAAAGATTTTGGTTTAATACGGTTTAAAGGGACTTTAATTAGAGTAGGAACAAGGACGCTACTAGGAACAAGTGCATCGCTACTAGTAACAAGGGCCTTAGTAGTAGTAACAAGAAGCTAGTAGAAACAATAAGCGCGATGTCAAAGGGACAGAGCTGAAGGACCAATCACGCAGTACAGAGCAAAATAATGCTGTTACAGCAATCAGGCACAAAGTGCGGCTCCCGGTTTACAGAGGACGTTGGTAGCTGTTACGCGATCGCATCTTGTATGCAAAGACCATTCAAAACCGTCATTGATTGGATTGCCTCGGCAAGAGCTACATTGATGTGTTGAAGGTCAACGTTTGCTACGTTTGCTGCTTTGTGAAGCGCAGAATGTGGGCTGTCATGTCACAAGATGTCATAGGCTTATAATGCGGCGGGAAATTATCTCATGGACACACCGCCAGCAACCAGGATGCAGAATATGTTGCCCAGCCTGGAGCAACGCGCGGCAAATCCATCTCAGCTTGATGATGATGATGCTCGACGGCTGGCACGCTGGGCAGAGGTGGTGACTTGACTAGTCAATGAATCAACCCTACCATCACACTGTTTGAGTGTGCAATGTGTGGTAGTTGGTATGTTGATGCACTTCGGCATTCATATGATTGCACTTTACATTGCCAATATAGTTCTAAGATTGCTGAAGTGAGGATGTATGAACAAAGACCACACCAGGTCGTTGTTGCAAGAGCTGAGGCTGGTAATCTTATTGAAGCTTATACTCAACTCTTGTGGCTGGACCAGGATGTGTCTGAGATTCTGAAACCTGGATGCAGCTGAGAATTTTGGTAATAAAGCCACTGGTGGTGTCAGTGTCGATGCAATATCATTTGGTTTGCAAGCCCGATGGCCGGAGCCAAGGCTGCGCTTCATTGGTGCGTGTTTGATGGTGCACTCGAGAGTTGCCCAAGCGGTGTCCGAGCTGTGGGCTGTTTTGAAGGTGCAGTGCAGATTTGAGACTTTCGGATGTGGATGCGCTGCAGCCTGTGATCTTTGTTGTCCAGTCAATAAGAAGGTTGCGGATGATTGTTGTAACAAGCGTAAAAAGCCACCATGAACTCTGCAATGCTTGCCGCTCAGTCACTAATTAAGCATTACAGAAGTGTGAAATCGTACTCAATCTTGAATCTATGCAAGGCACTGTTGCGAGTGAAAAGCCCTTGTCCATTTTTGACCTGATGGCTCAGCGCTGCAGGATGCCAAGAGAGATGGGAAGCTCCCTGAAGGTGTGATGCCGAGGATCCTGCAGCGGCTTGTGGAACCGCTCCTTGTTTTTGCACGAAAAGCACTTCACTTCAGCACATGATTCCGCGTTGCACTGCTTTTCCCCGCCAAGTGCAAAAAACGCTTGGAACTTTGGACATGTCATATTTTCCAAGGAGCATTTGCTCTTTCATGAGATTCAGCCGCTTTGACGTACAAGAAGATCGTGCAGACTTGGTGCACATGCGAAGTGCACAGCTTGACATTTTGGTGGACATGCCAGGGGCTCAGATTGTCGTGATCGAGAGATTTGCGAATCCTTTTCTTGATGATTCAATGAGCTGGTTTGGAAGGTTGGTGCGGTTGTGCCGCAGTGAAGTAGGATGTTGTTTGCAGGTCCGTGCAGTTGCTCCAGGGTGAAAATACGTGAATGCGTGAAACAACCATAAACAACCCAACTCTTTCTGTAGCACACATGATGGCCTCAATGTTTTGCTTTTCTCAGCCTGCGTATGTATGTCCAAACTATAGGTGGCTCATGGGTGAAACCTCGTGATGCTCGATTCCCTTTGCTTCCGGTTTTGTTTAGAGAATCTAAAGATGTTATATACTGTCACGTCCACATTCATTGTACCATGTTTACTGTTTTAAACGGATTGCGGCAATATGACTAACTAATCTATATACGCTATATAACTACCAACTTCGTCATATTTCGTCCAGTTTCCTTCGCCTGTTTCGTGTTTTCTATTTTGTTTGAAAGTTTTGTTCCCTTCAATTGTTCATTACATGTCCTTTTGATTCTCATTTCTGCTACCATGCCACAATTGCAAGGATCTTCGGGCCAGCTGATCTTCTGCCGATGCTGCCGGTTTGCTGATGCTGTTGTTGCTGTGCTGGTTTGCTGTTGCTGCTGCTGCTGGTTGGCGGCTGCTGTGCTGGTTGGCGGCTGCTGGTGTGCTGCAGTTGCTGTCTTTGCTGCTGCTGCTGCTTGCCACAGTTCTGTTGACCGTAGAAAGCTGTAGGAGTAGGAGTCGTGCTCGCGCGAACCTCGCGCGGGGCTCGCGCAGAGGCCTACGTGTCACATGTGTGTGTGCGCATGCAACCTAGCCGTTCTCTAAGTTGTGCATTGGTGTGAATGGCACTGTGCCATGGAGATTTGGGCTTGAAACATCTTAGAAAGCAAGGCAAAAATGCCAGCCATAACACAGTGTGCACACAGTTTTCTTTGAACATATCACTTTCATGCTGCGCTCACTTTTCAAGTGTGCCCATTGTGGTTTGACCGAAATGAGTCGACTTCACGCGAGTGGGCTGACTTCTCGCTGAAACCTTGTGCAGTGAGTTGATTTCACGCGACGTGGGTTGACTTAAGTACGCCGCTTGCGCTTGCCATTTCAATTTCCATTGCATACTGATCGGTCATCAGCGATCGATGCGTTGCAGGATTCGGATACTGTTGGACTCCAGATGCTTAAACATAGCCTGGATGCACCCAACACAACAATTGATAGCTCGGCCAACCAGCAGAGAATCAATGTTACCCTGTAGCTGAATCATATTGAACTTAAAGTCACTTCCAGTGTTAAAGCCACTGACTTCGTAGGACCTCTAAAGCACCGTGGCCCTTGCTTCAGAAATTCCAGCGTGCAAGGTATTGCGTGGCAGCTGGAACTCCAGAAGCCCAGTTTGTGCTTGCTACGCTGTGGCTCGACAGCGGACTCCTACAGTGTCATACTTAGCTGTACTCATGTTGTTTTTGGTCTATTCTATGGTTATATGTGAACACAGTGAGGGGGAAGAGTAAAGCAGCCAAACTGCGGGAGTGACTTTCCATGCCTTCCTAGCTGTACCCCGGAAAGAGCACCAGCATACGCATGCATCTAGGAATGCAGTATGTCAAAAACCGAAAGTTCCAAGGACGTTTCCCGTTTTGAGCTTGGGACTCAGAGTCGTTGGGCCCCATGGGCGGTGCCATGGCATGGCAGGTTGAAGCGAATGGATCAAGCCGAATCTGCAGGAGATGTTTTGGGTTTGGAGGTGGTGTGGTATGCTTTCCAAGGTGCGGGACAGTTTCAAGTTTCGATAACTAATCACGAAAGCTAGCACCAGCTAGCTGGAGTTGTCCTTGCTTTAGCAAGTGAGGGGCTGGAATCCTCGGGATCGCCGCATCACGTGAAAACTTCATATGTAGGGGGGCCCCCCCCCCGTGGGTTCAACTCCCCCCTCGGACGCCTCTGGGACACCTCTCGGGCATCTCTTATGGCATCCACTTTGGCTTAACTCCTCCGGGATACGGTGCAACAGATTCAACAAGCTCACATGTTCATGACATCGACATCGATAGAAGAAACCAAACAAATCATGCAAGCAGCTTTGTTTTGCCTCTGGGACACCTCTTGGGCACCTCTTATGGCATCACTGGTTCAACACCTCCGTGGAGGTTTTGGGATACGGTGCAACAGATTCAACAAGCTCACAGGTTCGTGAACACATCGGATGCATCGAACAGTGTGGCAAAGTCCAGCCACGCTTCCTTAATTGTCGGGGACTTCAATTCGAAGGTTGGCTGTGTCATTGCTGTTTGTGTGTCTTACATGTTCACAACGTTTTACCTCATGAGCATTTGCCTCACTCCGCTTGATGTCCCACCAGTCCGGATGCACCCCTGCTAGCTTTCGTCACCTACCCTCGGCCTCAAGTTGCTGGGGGTGTAGTTTCGCGGCAGGGTGTACTGTCCCCACTGTCCCTTATTCCAATGCATTCATTGACATCTTGCGGTACAGCTTACAACCCTAGGTCATCCTATATCCATGTGTCAATGCAACAGGCATTGCAGAGGTCATCGCAGACGAGCCCAACGTCCCGGATGCTTACCATGTGGTGCTTCGCTCGGTGGTCAAAGCCGCTGTGAGGCAAATGATTCATAAGATTTCATACAGTGGAGTAAAAGTCAGACTTTGCATGCCGGACCCGTTTAGAGCTTCTCTCAACGGCTTGAGGTTGTTGCGGCCCCGGCCGAAGTCTCCAGCACGGGCGCAGCCTTACTGCGGGCATGTGGTCCTCATTATGAACACCATTTGCAGGCGACGACCGCGAGAGCATCGGCATCAACTTGACATGTTGTTTGGCATCGCGGCATCAAGTATAAAATGTGGGATCCACCAGTTCAGATAGTGGAGGAAAGGATTTACTGTAAATAGATAGAGCCGTCTGGCCTTGGAGGCCAAAATCGGGTGACTTGAGCCCCTGGAAGGAGATAGATTTTTGCCAGGGGACCGACCTGATTTTGAAGGCCACAACAATAAAATGAGTCTGGACAAGAACCCTATGTTAAAACTTTAATATCTATTTGGATTGGATCTGATGTTGGCTACCCCCCTTTTATCAGAGGGATTTTAGCCAGAGACTTTCTACGTGTGGTAATGACATGACTTTAGGAGCCATATGTTGGACCCCCCATTTCATGTGGAGACTGATGTTGGACCCCTCCATTTGATTTAGAAACTGATGTTGGACCAGAGAGGGAGAGACAGAGAGAGAGAGAGAGAGAACTCTAGATTGCTGACCTTTGTTTGTTGTGTCTGTTGTGTAGCCGATTGCGCGTTGGCTATTACCATTTTGTCAAGTGTCAGTATTTGTCCTTTGTCACCTCTGGGTTATGTTGGTTGTTTATGTTGGTTGTTTTTGTTGGCATGCTGCAGGCAAGCCCTTGCCTCTGGCTGTGTGCTGATACCACTGTGCCGAATCTACATACAGAGATTTCTAGAGTCTGCAATGTTGGCCCCTCTCAATTTATCCAGGGCATGTAAAATGATGCGAAAATCATGAAATCTTGGACCCCCCCATTTCATCACCTTGGAGGCTGAAATGGGGTTGGCTCCCAGGGGTCCTAGGTGACTTGGTATGCCCAGACGGCTATAATAGATGCTTTGGCCAGTGCCAAACTTCGAGTTGTTGCTGGTGAAATGCATCTAGGAGGCATCACCACAAGACCTGCCGATCGATGGGCTTGTGTTGGAAGTCGACATGGCCAATCAGGCGCACTTGCCTCCAGCTGTGCAGTGGCTGATGACGAGGGTGGAGCAGATACCTGTGGAAGCCTCCGAAACAATTCAAGAGCTTTGTGGGCCGCTAAGCCTTGATAAGTTTTGGCAAACTCACACCAAGAAAAAGGTACAGTCAGAGGAGTCCTTAAGGATTGGCTTTTTGCACACTGTGGACTTTGACCCTGGCAAACCCAAGGTATGCAGGAAAGCTTCTTTTGCCATTTGTGGAGGAATTCCTCAAGGCAGTCGTAAAGGCAAGAGTGCACAAACTACAACTTAAAGGAGCATGCTATTAGGTTGGAGGCCATCGCTACTAGGTTGGAGTCTATCTCTGTCTCTTTCTCTTTGCTCCGAAGAACGTGCAAAGCCGTTTTGCACCATTCTCGTCTTTGTCGCTCGGTTTGGACAGGTCGCGCCAGCGGCACCCAGCGAGGTTGATGCCGCGTTGCACGGTGCTTTAGTTGGTATTGCGCAGCTTGACAGGAATGGCGTTCACACCAGCAAAGTCCTTTGTTAGGTGTTAGGACATGCTACGACTTTGTTGAAAAAGTACTGGCGGCAAGGTACTGTTTTTATTAACAGCCTTCTGGTTTGCTTGAATCTTGCAAAAGGATGCAAAAGGTTGTTGATTAATGTTAGTGACAATTGCTGCAAGATGCCAGCAAGCATTGTCCATCATAGGCGAAACCTTCCCGCAGACCAATTGCCTATGGGCTTTGCTCAAGTTTGCCAGGGTACTTTGGCAGCAGTGGTGCGCGTGCAGCTTTAGCCCAGCTTTTGTAGACAACTGTAATGATGCGGGACTGGTATCAACTTCTTGACAAGAATAACAAACAAGAACATTAAAGAACATATGTAGTCATTTGACGGTCATCGACAATGATGACACTCATAAATATTTGGAAAAGGGTTTGCTTAGTGATAGTGCTGGGAAATTGCACAGAAGATCCAAAGAGAATGTTCACGGGCGAGTCTACAGGTGTTTCAGACGAGACATGAGCAACGCAAATGAAGACTAAGTTCTTGTACGCATTGAGCAAACCCGCTTGGCATCGATACTAAAGAGTACAAGCTGGCTGCCAGCTGTTAGTTATATAGTTGTTTGCCGCTGTGTTTGTGAAAGCGGATTCACTTGGTGTATCGACTCGCAGCTGTTATTGAATGCCTTTGATGTCTGGGAACAAGACATGCACTCGATTTGATTCCGAGGGTTTGATATGGCGGCAAGCCGTGCTATATACAGTCAGCTATATAATGCTATATGTATACATTGAATTTTGTGAGTAGACCATGGCTGGCAGCCCTCAAGGCCAGCGCGTCCCATGCGCTCCTGTCACCTGTCTTTGCACGCTGGTGTCAGGGTGCATGCGGGGTGGCAACAACAGAACTGAACCCACACACAAGTTATATATTCGATATATTATTATTGTATATATATAATTGTATATATATATATACGTATATAGAAACTTAGAAAAAAACGGTTTTGCTAATTATTGAAAGGTGACAGTTTTTGCTGCCTACCACGATTCCAAATCGACATTATGTCAGTGCGGTTCATGGCTGCGAGGTTCCGCAGAAAGCCTGAAGACGGGGATCGATACCTCCAGTGATGCAGGCAGTGTGGTGCGTCAAACGGACTTCAGGGAACAAGATCGGGCTGGCTATAGGTCAATACAGTATTCTTGCACAGTGGCCATAGGGGGAGTACAAGCGACAGCTTGAACTTGTGGCTTCATGCATGAATCATCATACTGGTTGATTGCCCAGTTATTTGACATGTTTGTGCAGGGCGAATGATGCTGCATCGAATCCTTTGCCGGCTGTTGCGATGTGACTCCGCCACTTGGCTGAAGTGGCCGATACATAGTATGGCATGTGTTTACAAAAACTAGGCATGTGTGGCAGTGTTTGTGAAAGGGACATGTGGGACAAATTGCTTAGGTGATGGAGCAAGCCGGCAGTAGTCAACAGGGAATTGGTCCAACACCGGAAGCAAGAACGGCTTCGAGTTGCCTAGCGAGACACTTGTCTTGAAACAGCAACATTCTTCCTATGCACGTTGCCTTCGTGGCAGAGTAGGGCACAATGACAATCTGAATCAATCTGACTGTTGCATGCTGCATGCGAGTTGTATAAAGTGAACAGAGGAAAGCCCACCGAGGCTTTCTGTTGTCCTGCTGGCACCTTGCTTGCATGCAACTTTTTGTGCCAGTGAGGGAGCTACCACATCAATGCTCCCGACCAGCACATTTTGCTCTGTGGTCCCTGCAGATGCGTGTGTCTAGTTTATATACGCTAACTTGGTATCCATACTGGTTGTCCTTTTGGTTGTTTGATCTTTCCACTTAGGACTTCCTTGGCGCCGCCTTGTCAACAGATTCTGCTAGCTGCTCCTGTAGGGAAAGATGCTGCAAAGGGTCGGCCAATCTTTGAGTACTCGGATGCACCTTGAAGGCAAGTTCGTCATCCTGATAGCCAAGGTCGAAACTGCAGAATCCATAGAAAACAAACACACATCAACACACATGTTCGTCAGTTTCCGTGCTTTGCCATCTCAAAACTCATCTCGGATGTTTTTCAGGTCGCTTTGCAAGTGAACGTGCTTGCTTTGCTGCGGCGGGCCGGCCGTGCTGCGTGCGAAGCAGAGAGCGCCGACTTGGCACAGCAGTTGCAGCAAATGCTTGTTTCTTGCTGTCAGGCGGGTCCGCTATATATGTATATATACAGTATATATACACAAATTATACACCCTAATTATATAAGATTAATAAGATGTAAGGTGGATAGGATTCTCTTTTTGCTTTCGCAGATGTACAGCGTACAGCAGCCTAATTTCTTCATGGCCCCGTATCCAGGAAGGTCAACTAGCTGTTCTGGCTGCCATGGCGCAGATGGCAGAGAGCCCTCCACTGGCACAGAACTATGTTCTTCCCCAGTTGGCTACTTGCCCGCAGAATCCTGCAATGAACAATGTCAATGCAGGATTTGAGCTTGTACAACTTGCAAGTAATTGTCAAGCATATCGCTTTTGTCGGTCTCCAGTTGGTTGGCTGTGTGCATCACGTCGTGGGTATTAGGGTGGCGGCATACTCAATTAAGCACGCAAAACAGGTGCAAGGTAAGTAGGGAGCTTTTTGGCCACCAGCAGGCGAGTTGAATGCTGCAACCTAGGAGTTGGTGAGCAAGACAGTGTTGTTGCTTGGCTGCAATGGCGATGCCCTTGTTACTAATAGCGATGGCCTCCACCTAGTAGCTTTTAGCTGCTACTAGCTTCTTGTTACTAGTAGTAATGCCAGGAGCTACTAGCAGCGTCCTCTAGCTCCTAGTAGCGACGAGAACGATTCCAAAGCTTTGGCACCGCCAGGATGCACCTTCAAAAAGGTGGGCCTGCCGAGGAGACAGACATGACATGCAGCTGCACATCGGCCGCCATGGGAACTTATAGATACTGTACTTATAGTGTGCTTATGCGTGCTTGATTCATGATTGAATCTAATATTAACATCATCACAAAAACCAGTTCTGGGTTGACGGAACTATAATCACAATTGCCAAACTCTCTCACGCTGGCCTCATGCGTGTGTGATATTTTCATAAAAAGCTTTTCTTCAGAAGTGCTACTTGTACCCAGAATAAGAGGACCTGATTCCCTTCTTGGACCTATGCTCCTCATTGGCGGGTTCTGTGGGTGCTGGGCTTAGAACTATCGCGTGCCCTTGTAAGACGATGACAAAAGTGTTGCAACCATGCTGCGGCGGTGACAAACCCATTTATTTCGGAGCTTAAAAGCGTTTTGCAGGCATCGGCCGTGCATTTTGAAATCTTGACTGTTGACCATGGAAAAGGAAAAGACGACGAGGCTCCAGTTACTTGAAAAGTTACAGTAGAAGCCGCAAACTCCTGCCTTTGCACATCAATTGCAACTGCTCATAGTGGTGCACATGACGATGAGACTCTGTGACTAGCTGGCTGAGGCGACACTTTGTTTGCTTCGCAACACTTGGCGCCATTGTCGCAGCTTTGCATTGCAGCTCTTCAGTCGACAGAGTCCGACCGCCCAGTGTAAGCACAGATAGTAGGACCGTAGGAAAAGTGTGTCAACTCTTTATAACTATAGCTGTTTGGTCTGACTTTCAGCTGATAGTGTGCAGTCAATAACGTGTAGGCAACTTCACTCACGCAACGTTTGTTGTTTATCACAGCGGTATTTGCTTTTTTGACCATGCGAATGCTGAGGCATGAAGTGCTTAAGCCCGTGCTGCTTTTCCTGCAGCGCCTTCTAACACAAAGAACGTTGGCTTTGTCAGATGGTGACGTCTCGGCGTTGGCACAGCAAGTTGTTGGGCGCTTTCAACAATGGCCAAGGACGGCAGTAGGGGGGATGATGACTGCATTGCTGCATCGAAGGATGTCCAGAAGATTGAAATTACATGAATGTATGACCAGCATAATTGCAGCAAGTGCTGAAAACCTACTGCTTGCGCTTGTGCCAACATGTGCCAACCGCACAGGAGCATGAGTGGGCAGATCTTCAAAGTGTTCTCCGCCATGGCAGAGAGCGCCATGGCAATGCAAATCCTAGGCTCCATGTTTGTAGGTCTTTGCATACGTTGGAGTGAGGAGGATCATGCCACTATTCAGCAAGATAGCACCAAGACTGCAAGAGATCTCAAGAGTGATTGCATCACCTGTTTGCTCACAATTGAAGCCTGTGTTCGAAGGACATGAAAAAGTCTACTTGTCCACTGTTGCTGCTGCCGCCGACGCACCCTGCATGGCTTCTTTGTCAGCTGCAGATAAGATACTTGTATGCACTGTGTCATGTCATGTCATTGTGGGCAAGGGCAACCAGGCCACGCACCAAGTGTCACAGTGCGGAATGCACTTGCACTTAGCCTTGGAAGCTGAGGCAACTTGCTCAGCAGGCCTTAGCACGATTGAGAGGTCCACGTCTTCGTGCCCTTTTGCAGGATTTAGGCGCAATAGCACGTGGAGAGCATACAGTGGACATGCTACAGACATATGCTGGCGAGTGAAGAAAAAGGAACACCTGCGCGACTCATTTGCTATGACCTAAAACGACTGGCAGACATGACGTTTGGGTAGAGGATGTAGACCATGCAAGTCTTGAAGAGTTTACTTCAACATAAGTCGATATTTCCATGAACACAGCCGGTGGCACACCCTGGCTTTGAAGCCAGGATGCAATTGATGCCCTGAACGACAACTACAAGCGTGGGGCTTATGCCGTTTACTTTTGGCATGCTGCGGTCTGTGCCAGCCACCCCACAATGAAAGATTTACGAACATGTTGATGTACTGTGAGGATTCGGGAAGAAAAGGACTGCAAGCCTATGAAGGCCGTGCAGATTCGAGCGTTCTTTTCCCATATGCAACGTCATGATACTGATGGCGCGGTTTAATCTGGGATGCGCAAATTGCAAAGAAGACCGGGGTTTTCCTTGCCCCTGCGGAAGAAAGTATGGGTATTCGTAGTACAGTAGCCTCTTGTTACTAGCAGTAATGCCAGGAGCTACTAGTAGCGTCCTTGCTCCTAGTAGCGATGCCCTTTGTTACCAGTAGATTCATATTACTGGTAGTAATTAATGCCAGGAGCTACTAGTAGCGTCCTTGCTCCTAGTAGCGATGCCTTGCCTTTGTTACTAGTAGCTTCTTGCTACTGGTAGTAATGCCAGAAGTTGCTAGTAGCGATGCCATTTGTGACTAGTAGCTTCTTGTTACTAGTAGTAATGCTAGGAGCTACTAGTAGCGTCCTTGCTACTAGTAGCGATGGCGATGCCCTTTGTTACTAGCAGCTTCTTGTTACTGGTAGCCATGCCGGAAGCTGCTAGTAGAGTAGCGATGCCCTTTGTTACTAGTAGCTTCTTGTTACCAGTAGTAATGCTAGGAGCTACTAGTAGCGTCCTTGCTACTAATAGCGATGCCCTT